GTTTCACTAAAATTTTCAAAATTAAAGTGAATTTGGCCAAGAAAATCCAACTTAAAGTTTATGCAAATGAACACAGTTTTGTATCAGATTTACAACACTCTTCACGGTCGTGATTTCTGTTGTGTTTTCCTCATGAATTATTAATGAGTTTGATAATATATATTCTATTTAAAAACATGCATTCCAATAAAGCGCATGAAGACACAACGGTCATCTCGATAATAACTATGCTCATTGCATACATAATTAGCGTATCACGTAGGAATTTAGCAACCCCCCATTTATGGATATTGGAGTTTGCGCAGTGCGGGTGTAAAGCTTTGCGACCCCTCCATATATAAGGGCCACACCCAGATCATTGAATCATTCCGTCGGAAGCTGCCTAAGTAGAGAGTAGAAGATTCACCCCACCCACCTCCCCTGGTGGCGGTTGACAACGCATCGCGTGCTTTTCGCATGCTCATTGCCAGCAGTCGCGGTCACCTTCCATATCTTAATTCCCGTGGCTCGGTAATGAGTATGCAGTGAGGATAAAATACTATGGGTAGGCATAAAAGCTTATGGTCCCAATCACCGTGGGGTAAGTATAGATCACTCCCTTGATACGAGGGTTTTTCTACGGGTTTTCCGCTTTTTCTCTCGCCATTACATTAATACCACAAAAAGTTGTTTAACTAAACTGGGTTTTCTAGCTTCTATGATATGCGAGCATTTGATTTCACAAGAATACTCCATTTTACAGTGACCACGAATAATAGTTACAAGCCGAGGCTGGAGTTGCTGCACATGATACAATGTATAGTTTTGCTACGCGCGGAAACTGCAGCCTCCACTTGCAACTATTATATGCGGTCACTTAATGGAACTGTTAAATGGAGTATTTTAATAAAAAACTACATGAAACTTATCTTGTGCAACGAAGAGGACACTTATGAGCAGTTTTGTATTCATGGTTGCTTTGCTTTTGTTGATAATTCTTTACACTCTTTTAGTAAAACCATTTTTAAAAATGCCTGTTTTGCATTATCCGTACTCTGAGTTATCCGTGCAATGACTTTGATCAGGCCAGAGGTTGTTTCAGGGTTTGATCTGTGAGTTAGCCCTGCCCTGACTTAGATCAGCCCAGAGGTTGTTTCAGAGTTCTATCTGTGAGTTAGCTATGCCCTGACTTAGATCAGCTCAGAGGTTGTTCCAGGGTTCTATCTGTGAGTTAGCCATGCCATGACTTAGATCAGCTCAGAGGTTGTTTCAGGGTTCAATCTGTGAGTTAGTCATGCCCTGACTTAGATCAGCCCAGAGGTTGTTCCAGGGTTCTATCTGTGAGTTAGCCATGCCCTGACTTTGATCAGCCCAGAGGTCGTTTCAGAGTATCGATAAAATGTTAAGGTTTGAAGGAACTTGTTCTAGCTATATACCTGTCTGACAGTTATCACCGGTGTACCCAGGTGCACATTGACAAGTGTAATCATTAACGCCATCAACGCAGGTTCCTCCGTTCTGGCAAGGTTTGGGAGCGCAATCATCGATGTCTAGAAAACAAAAAGATACCAATATACTCTATGTAAACATGTACGACGTTGACTTCAAGACATTAAAAAAGTTAAAAATCCATTATCATTATCACAAAGAAGGCAAAAATATTTTTGTGTGGAATGTTTCATAGCTAGAAAAAATATACTTCTACTTTTAAACGATTCTAAAAATAGCATCAATGATTCTAAAAATAGCATCAATGATTCTAAAAATAGCATCAATGATTCTAAAAATAGCATCAATGATTCTAAGAATAGCATC